ATAATTTTTAGAAGCCCCACTTCTCCCTTTCATGGTGGCTGAAACTGGTACTCAGTGGAGAACCAGGATTACTGCTGAGTGACTGATCTTTTCAGTCTCTGTCTTGGGTTTTTGCTCCATCTCATCCCACCCGCCCATACCAGGACTGGTTTATTAAGAACTCTCTGGGCCTGGGGGTGACTGTGTGTGTGAGACTTTTATTGCTTGCTCAGGAGGGCGACCAGGTTCACAGGAAATGCAGATAGCATTAGAGATCATGCTGGCCTTTCCAAGTCGTGCCGGGTAGAAATGGGGGTGACCTGTGATTTCCATCCCTGGGTCCTTGCCAATAACAGGAACCTTTGAAGACACGGATATCACCGGAAACACATGCCTGGCTGGAATTGTTGTCTCGCATGTGTTCTCCGTAGGCAGAGCAGCACAGCCACGAGGCCCCTCTGGGGTGGGAAGGAATGTCTTGTTTGGGAATGGGATCCACTTGGGCTGGACACGGAATGTGGTAGTGGAGAGGAGGGTCCTGGAAGAGTCCTTTTGGAGATATGGGAGTTGGAAAGCTGATAGCAGGACTAGGCTGCAGAAAGAACCCAGGTGGGTGGAAGGCCTGGGGTAGAATCTAGTTACGTGGCCTGTGATGACTGGGCCAGCTGGGTCTAAACTGAAGTGGATTCCATCTGCTTCTTCTGTGGGCAAGGACACAAGAAACCTCCTCAGGGCAGGACAGCATGATGGTGAAAAGCACCAACCCTTCAGCCAGGTGGGTCTGGAGTCCAATCCGCTGTGTGAACTTAGGCTTGTTTCTTAACCTGTTTGAGCCTCGTTTCCCTTAGCAATAACCTGGTTGTGATCATGGTACCCACTTCATAAGGTTAATGTGGTTACTAAGGGAGGTGGCAGACACAGAGTGCTTGGTACATAGTGAGCCTACAACACAGGATGGCTATTTGCATCTTAGCTTTTATTTATTTTTTGTTTTGTTTTGTTTTGTTTTGCTAAGGTAACCCAGAGGAATATGCTGTAATGGGGGAAATACATGGATTTGGGGTTCAGAGCCATCTGGGTAGAAATTCTGATCCCACATTTGCTGGTTGCTTCTCTGAGTCTCAGTTTCTTTTGTGAAAAGGGGATAGGTGCATGGTAGAGGTAAAATGAGGTAATGCATGAGAGAGTGACATTCGGAGCCTGAGAGTGAAAACAGTGAATGACCCCACGGCCATTCTTACTGTGGTCACCACCAGGGCTGAGGCAGGGGACACTGCAGTTGCCGGCAGCCTCTGCATGGAGTCCCTGCTCTGTGTTGAAAGTCCCTCCTGCAAGAAGAGGTGGTTGGTGCTACCCTCACCACTCTGTGCTCCCTGGTTGGGGGGTGTCTGCTTCACAGGAGGTGCACGAGGCCAAGGAGCCCCACCCTGCTCTCCTGGTCTCCACCCTGCCTCGGCTTCCCCAGATGGGCTGGGTTTTCTCTCCTCCTGCAGGCTGCGTGGTGGTGGCCGGGTGCCGTTCCCAAGGCGACTTTGTTTGCATTTTTCTAACTGAGCCTCATCTCTCTGTTTACAGCCCATTTTTTTATGTCTTAGAAAAAATGCCAACCATTTCTTCCCTTCCGGACCACTCTGCCTCTTCATTAAAGTGCTGTTTAGTTCACTGAGGGGCAGGAGGAGGGTGCCCTAAGCAACGCCGGCCCCTTCCCGAGGCCCAAGGTGTTTCCCAGGTGGCCGCTGTATAACGTGACTGCTTTTTGGCCGAGGGCTCTCTGGCTGGGGAGGTGATGGGTCTGCAGTTTCACTAGGGAAAAGGGGTCTTGTCTCATTCTGACTCACTCTGCTCAGAACCTTCTGGAATCAGCCCGTGACAGGGGTGGGAGTCCTGAGAGGTGGGATCTGGAAAGAACAGACACTTAGACTAAACATACAGGACTGCTGCCTGCCCGAGGCCAGGCTTCCTTCCTCCCCTCTCTCTGTCTCAGGACCTGTGAGCAGGCTTAAGCCCCTCAGAGGCCTCTGCCCTAGGCACACAGCCAACCCTGACCCTCCCTGCACCAGCAGCTAGGCCAACATGACCCTGTCACCACCCAGGAGGAGGGGGACAGGGGTGGTAGGATGGAGAGGGGTGTGACGAGCAGGCCCAGGGAGGTGGAGGGAGGCAGGACCATCAGGAGCTGAGGCCCAGCCACAGTGCACGTCACAGGGTCTCCTCAGACTTCGCTTAGAAAGCACAGACTGAAAGATCAACATGTGAGGACCCGCAGCGGGCAGTGGGCAGCGCTAGGCCCCAGCTGGGGGTCCTTCAGAGCACAAGGCCTTTGGAATGAGGACCCTTTGGCCACAGGAAACTGTGAGACTGTGCTCCTGGGAGGAGAGCCGGGCAGCTCAGCTTAAGGGCCAGGATGGGGTAGGGTGAGAGGGGGCCCCTCAGGCAGCCAGAGCTGCACCTGTGGGTGCGCTGGTGTGTGGACAGGCAGGGGCAGCTCGGTCGGGTTGTTGTACAGGTCTGCAGAAAAAGGGGTTGCAGGGAGCCGACCGAAGGTCCTTAGTCCTGATAGCCTGTACTGAAATGAAGGCCAAGTCTGGGAGGCTGAGCCTCACGTCCACGAGTTAGAATCTGAGGGAGGGAGACCCTACTTCTATGGCTGGGGATGTGACTCAGTGGTACCAAACAACAACAACAACAACAAAACCTGTGTGTGTGTGACCACAGGACTGGGGAGAGGGGAGGATGACTAAATGACACCTAAGGCCCCTTCAACCCTAAGCAGAGACTCCAGACCACAACTGGGACTGTGTCAGAAATGTTTGGACAGAGCGATTGACATCATTGGACCCCTGAGCAATCCTGGCACATCCTGCTCAGCTGTCACAAGGTCCTGCCAGTCTGATTTTGTTGCTGGGGTGTTTTCTTGCTTTCTGACCCAGAAGCTGCCAGGATTCATTTACTTGGCTGGGAACTAGGGGACGGATTAGGGCTACATCTTAATCCTATCTCTTCTTCTATAATTCTTGGTGAAGGAATTGGTTTTTGTTTGCTTTAGCAAAGTCCTCCTACACCGTGTGGTTCCAACTTTGATCTGGGATTCCAGCCGCCATCTTGAAACCAAGTGGTGGCCCAATCACTTCTCCAGATTTAGGTCATATCTTGCAAGTCTCGATAGGATTATGAAGTTCAGTTTATGTGTCCCAGCCACAAAAAGGGGCTGGTGTCTTTGATAAACTCTGAGCACATGTGATAAGGTCCATTCATTACTGACTCTCTTTACCTCCCACTTCTTTTGTGAAGTGGTTGGGCTGAGATAGTTAACTATTACCATCACCACCACCACCACTGATTACTGAAGACACGAGATACTGTGTGTGTATTTATAATCATTGGTTTCCAATGATTATGCAACTTTATGACATTGCTGATATTGTGCCATTTTATAGATGAGGAACTTATTGCTCAGGGAAATTAAGCTCCAACTCACATAGCTAGAAGTAGCCAAGCCATAGGGGTACCGCTAGATTGGAGGACTAGCTTCTAACGTTCTGTAGCTCTGTAGGGTGACTATGGTTGGAAACAACTAACTGTACACTTTAAAATAGCTAGTAGAGAGGATGTGCAATGTTCCTTGCACAAAGTCATGGTAAATATCTGAGGTGACAGGTAGGCTAGTTATGCTCATCCGATCATTACACATTGTACACAGGTATTGGAATGTCACTGTTCTCCAAAAGTAGGTCCCACTAGTATGTGTCAAATAAAAATGCAAATATATAGTTGAGTGCAGTGGTGCATGCCTGTAATCCCGGCAGCTCAGGAGGCTGAGGCAAGAGGATCCCAAATTCAAAGCCAGCCTCAGCAAAAGCAAGGCGCTAAGCCACTGTCTATAAATAAAAGAGACCCTGTCTATAAATAAAATACAAAATAGGGCTGGGGATATGGCTCAGTGGTCGAGTGCCCTTGAGTTCAATCCCTGGTACCCCCCCCCCCGCAAAATACAAATTAAAAACAGAATACAGTAATACAGTAAGTGGGGGGAAAAAAAGTAGTTGAGCTGGAACTTGAACTTTCTGGTACCCAGGCTCTTTCCACTGTGCTATGTTCTCATCACTGTTGTGAAAGGGCCTTAGGGTTTTGTGAAGGCCAGTGTTTTTTTCGTAAGCATGCATGCCCTCGTTGTTCACCTCCCCACAAGAACAGGCCTCCAGTAATCTAAGGAGAGGTGAGTGGAGAGGCACCAGCTCTCACTGATCCTTGAGCTTCTGTGACTCACCAAGGGACCAGCTGTAGCCCTGGGAGGGTAGGAGAGGGTCTGGGTGGGAAGACGTGCTGGAACACGGAGAAGCAGAGTGGGAAGAGCCTAGCTCCCAGAAGCAGGAAGGTCCGCCGTGTCTTGTGGGCCTGGCTCGCTGACCACCAGTAGGTGAGGCTAGTAGTTCACTCATTCAGCCTCGTAGGATGGAATGAAATGACTTGAAAGAGCCCGGGATCCATGCAGACCTTCACCCATGGCCAGCTGCCGTGGCAGGAGGACTTGGCTATCTGTCCACAGCTTCCCCAGGCCCGGGGGCACTCACGGACCCCCACTTGCTGCTGCTCAGGATTTTGCATGCGATCTCTTTTGTGCTAGTGTGACACACTCTCAATTTATCTTTTTGAAACGCCTATTTCTGCATATTTTCCCATCGCCTCAAAGCTCCCTTTTGTGAGTTTAGCTCATCGGGATCTCAGGACATGGGGTGGCAGCAGTAGTGAATTCAGCAGAGGCTGTGCCTTATCTCTTCCCAAGGTGGGGGGTGGCGGCTGCCTTCGGCTCGGGCTCCCTTGCTCGCTTGCTCACTGCTTTGGCTCTGGGGTGTCTCCTGGTTCTCCCAGGCCTCGGCCTTCCAAGAGGACAAAAGCCTCCTTGGCCTTGAAGGCAGGACTTGCGCTCAGGCAGGGCCAGGCCTCTGTTGGAGGTGGAGGAGGGCTGGTTGCTGGTTGCTCCAGAGTCGCCAATTCTTGTGTCCTTTGTTCTCTTTTGGCAGAACCAGCTGCTTGCAAAGGGACTGTCGTTTGTGGAGGAGAAGATCAAGCTGTGCGAAGGCAAGTACAAGGCGGCCCTGGTGGATGGGGCCCCTGTGACTCAGCCTTTGATGCTGGGACAGCTGAGATGCTTCTGTCCAAAAGGGGCAGGCTGCACGCGAGTGAGTCACCCTGTCCCTCAGCTCTGCTGTGGCACTTGGGTCTGAGTCACACGCTCATGCAGTGCAATCAGAAGGTGTTTTGAAGAGTGAAGGGACACAGGTGGCTGCCCTGGAGACCTTGTTAAGGGATTTCACGGGGCACATGCTGATGGTCTCCCTGGAAGGGCTGCTGTGGATTCCGCCATGCTAGTCCCTTGGCTCTGCCTCTGGCTGTTTCCTGTTGGCCTTTGTAATATTTCTTGGGATCCTGGTAGACAGCAGTGTCCCCCTTATTTGGAGGACATTAGGATAAGCAGACGCACACTCAAAAAATGGGGTGGGATTTGATAGATAAAGGACTTTCCTGGTCTATGCTGATTTTAGAAGCCAACCCACAGGATTGAGAAGAACCAGGCGGAGCTGGTATGAGAGGCAGGGAAGGCCAACCCTGTGCCTGTCCTGGCGGCTGGCCTGGGCTCCCCCCACCCAGGGCCTGATCTGAGCTCTGACTTCTCAGGCGACTTGACAAGTTGCCAGGTTCTCGAGTTTGTTTTTATCCTATTTAAGGTGATGACATGGGTTGAGGGCTTGCAGGGAGTAGAAGGCCCATAACTGGTGTAGCACTGTATGTGGCACACAGTAGGATGCCTACTGGAGCTTATTTTTTTCCTCCCTGCTCTAGCCTAAGGACCTTGATCTTGACTTACAGTCAAGCTGGTTTCTGGACCCAGACCCAATAGGCATTATATTGTCCCTTTTTTCTTCTTTTTTTTTAAAGGCCAAATAATACTCCAGCGTAGCTACACTGTGCTGCCTTTACCCGTTCGCCCGTCAGTGGAGGCTAGACTTTGAGGTGGCTCTGACCAGGAACTCGGTGAGGTTGTGCATCTTGGAGTCTCACGAATGCATAGGTAGAGGAGGCAGCTACCCAGACAAGGGGGGGACAAGAAGCATGGTCCCTGGCCACATTCCTCATCTGTCAGTCACTGAGGGAGTTACTCCAAGTTCTTGGAAATGCAGGGAACCAGCCGTATGAAAGAGGTCCTCAGTAAAACTTGGACGTTCACATGGCCTTGATGAGGAACTTGACGTCTCTCATCCAGGTCATCCTCAATGTAGAGCCAAAATCCAGAAATGGAGCGAGGCAGAGTGAAGAGATCATCCTGGATCCTGGCCTGTGCCCCAAGGCGTAGCCAGAGTGCACCGGCCAGCGCGTCCCTGGGGGTCTCCTCTAGTTCCAGGTTCTGGTGCCGGGGCCTCTCTGCACAAGGAACGGGCTCCCGGGAACTTAAAGGGTCTTTCCCATCTCCAACTAGGACATCTCTACTTTTATGCATTAGAACCCCAAGAAAGATTTTGTCTGGATAAAAGAATTCTCTGGCTATCCAGCGGAGTTTGGGGAAAACAAATATCTCTCCGGTTGCCCCATGAACCTTACTTTATTGCACACCCCTGCTGGATGGCTGCAGAAAGGACAGGTGGCCCTCCGTGTCCGTTGGTGGCACTTTTGTGGCAGGAGACACGGTGCTCTTGGTGATCTTTTCTAGAGCTTCAGTGACCTTGACCTCAGGAAGCTTCTTCTACCTTCCTGTAATCTTCTGGGATCTCAGTACGTTAGAGGGCAGAGTTCATAAGTCCGACACTTAGAACCTTCCACTGCAAACCCCCTCCCCTTTGCAGGAGCTAGGTCCTTGGCTCCTGGGTCTTTTCCCTCAGTCACCTGTTTCCTTTAACTCTTTCTTCCCCGGGGCCTTCCTGTCTTGTTGGCCCGTGTCCGGCTGCTGGTGTTTTTTGAATGCTTTCCTAAACCTTCCTTATTCTCTGAAGTTTGCAGCCAGCAGCTAGGGAGCTGCTGGCTACTCCCTGGCCCACTTCCCTGGTGGGCTCAAGGCTCCCCTCACGTGCCTGGCCCTGAAGCAGGCACAGCTGGGCCCCAGGGTCTGCTCCTGCCCTTCCAAAGTCAGGAGCGTGTCTGTTGTGGAGGGCTCAAGACAAGGCACATCGACGGAGGAGCCCCTTGCCCTTTGGGGTACACTCTCTAGGTGCTGGAGTTCACCTTAGTTTTAGGAGTAGTGGTGACCTAACATGTATAAGGCTCTTTTGACTTCCTGCCTCCTCCCCAGGTGAATGAGCCCAACCTACATTGGAAAGAGGGTGGTATTTGAGTCAATCAGACATTTATTGATGACTTAGTCAATACCGGGTTCTTTGCTAGGTGCAGTGGACACTGTGATGAATAAGACCATCATGGATTCCCATGGAGCTCATAAACAGGTAGTGGAGACAGGTATTAATCAAGTCGTCACCAAATAGAGAATTGTGACTAGATAGTACTGTGAAGGCAATCCATCACAGAGGGATTGGAACCATGGGGAAAGAGTTTTCTGTAGAAGTAAAATTTCACTTGAAACAGAAAGATAAACAGAAGTAGGTGAGGCAAGAGAAACTGGCATGTGCAAAGGCCCTGTGGCATGAGGAAGCAGAGTGACAGTGAACGGCTAAGATAAAATCCACAAAGAGCCCAAAGGCTAAGGCAGATATTCCAGAGGATGAAGACACAGAGAGTAGGCCACACATAGACATTTTCTTTATCCTAAGAGTATTTTATTTCCGCTTGTGATTAAGTCCCTCTTGGTACTGCCTCATATTTGGGCTAGATGGTCCCTCCTTCCACTCACGGGGCCAAGCACCTGCACAGACCTTCACACCTGGCACTCGCCACTCAGTCCAGAGAAGGTTTCTAGAATAGATTTGTTCGTGTATCTGGCACTGTGCCCCACACTGTTGGTACAGCAGTACAGTGTGGCCTGCCAGCTCTAGGGGAGGGGACAGGGAGTGACAAGCAGCTCCTACAAAGTGAGGATCCCAAGTGGCCAGGGGAGTGGAGGCGCCCGGGCTGCCCCTCCCCCACCGTGTGTCACCTGACCTCAAAGGTCTGCAGTTTCTGGGCCCCTGAGCGACTCCTCAGCCCCACCCCCCCTCCTTTCCTTCTCCATAGCGACGGCTTTTATTGTCCATTAAACTGATAGACGCGGGAGGCCTTTCAGGACTTGCCTCGTGAAACGAGCGGGGTTTTGCCAAACGGTGTCTGGTCTTGGCTGACCCAGTTTCTCTGCGGGACGAGCAGACCGTGCCCAGTCAGCTCTGATATCTAGGTCATCTGCAGCCACCGCCAAGCCGGCTGCTTCTGCCAGCGCCTGCCTCTCCCAGGTGCAAATTCCTCTCCGTCCCCACCCCCGTGGCATCAGGTGACACGTGTGCCCCAGCCTGCAGGTGGCACTCCGCCATAGCCTAGGCTGCCTGGCCCGGGGTGAGTAGGCACAGAATCAGGAGAGGGGCCGTGTTTCCCAGGTGACCTCTGCAGAACATGCTGCCCTCTCACTTACTGTGAAGCTGTGGGCGGGGCTGACAGTTCCCAGAATCCTCTTTCTGCCTCTCTCAACTGACAGCTCAATCCCAGAATAAGGCCAGTGTGTTTGTGACTAAGAAAACAAAATAATATATGGCTGTACATGTGATTTCCCAGGTTAGGGTGGTAAAGAGCATGGCTTCTGGATTTATAGCTCTGCCTTCAAGCTGTGTGACTTTACACCGGGTACTTGGCCTCTCTGAACCTGTGAAATGGGGGTAACAGAGTCTATTCATGAGATAGCTTGTTAATAAGCCACTTAATACACTGTCTGATAATGTAACCATTCACATGATGATAGCAATTATTAGGTGATTTTAAATTTTCAGCCACCTATTTTGAATCCAGGGATAGAAAGTCATGTTTACATAGTTTGAGTTGAATCTTCCCACCAGTATCAATCCATTTTCCATTGCTACGACAAAATGTCCAGGATTGGGTACTTTATAATGAAAAAAGGTTATTTGGCTCACTGTTTCAGAGGCTGGAAATCCAAAACCTGGTGGCCCCGTTGGTTCAGCCTGTGGTAAGGGCTTTCTGGTGGTGGCATCACAACAGCAGAAGAGATCACCAGCCAAGACAGGAGGGCAGGCTTCAGGTGTCTGACTCACTCTTGCGATAATCCATTCTGAAGAGAACCAAGTCTGCGCTGCCAGCCTGAACCCCTTCCAAGGGCAGAGCTTGCCTGACCTGACCATGACCTTCCACAAGGTCCCTCCTCCTAGGCCAGGGACCCAGACCCTGCAGCCCCACAGCTCTGGCCTCCGGGTCCCACAGCCCCGGCTGCAAGTTGTCCATCACGCAGGACCTCACCTCGGAGGTGGGCCTGTCTCTGGCCTCTGCTGGGACTAACCCCAGCTCTCCCCTCCCCTGTCCCCTCCCGTCCTCTCGCCCCCGTGCAGGTGAGGACCTCGTGAGGGCTCTGGCTGACGTCTGGGACCACTTCTTCACGGAGACCCTGCCCACCCTGCAGGCCATCTTCTACCCAGTTCAGGTCAGTGTCCCCCCTGGACCTCCTGCCGGCCTCTGTCGTGGCCTTTGGAGGCTGGGGGGCAGGTGAATGGGGAGAACCTGGGGGTGGCTGCTGGAGTTGGCCGAGGGGCGTGGGGCTCTTTGAGAGCCCTGGGGGCCACCTTCAGCCCCGGAGCAAGGAAAAGCGCCACAGGACTGGAGCCCGCGGGCTCCTGCTGCCCTTCCAGCGCTGAGGGTGCTCTCGTGCTTTGGAGGGTTTGGTTCCCCTTCCCCAAAGTAGAGAAGCCTGGGGGTGGGGGAGGGGCTTTTCTTTTTTCTTCTCTTTCTTTCCCACCCTCCCTCCCTTCCTTCCTTTCTCCCTTTCTTCCGTCCTTACTTTTCTTTCTGAAGCATAATTTCTAAGCAAGTTTGCTGTTGTCCCCGGATGGTGGGGAAGGAGTACTGTTCCCTGTCCTCGGAAGGAGCCATATGATGGGCGCGCAGGGTGGGCGTTCGGGATGGCTTGAGCCGTCATGAACTCCCGTTGCACAACCCCCTCCACCTCCTCCTGCAAAATGAAGAATCTGGAGTAAAAGGAACACTCTCCTTTGTGTTCCAATTCTAGGACCTCAGCTCATTTGACCTCTTGTGTCAATTTCCTTCCTCTTTCTTTGTTTGGTTTTTGGTCCTGGGGATTGAACCTAGGAGTGCTTAACCACTGAGCCTCTTCCCAGTCCTTTTTATATTTTATTTATCTCACCGAGTTGCTCAGGGCCTCGCTAAGTGGCTGAGGCTGGCTTTGAACTCGAGATCCTCCTGCCTCAGCCTCCCAAGCCCCTGGGATTATAGATATTCACCACTGCCCTGCGCTTTCTTCTTCTTCCTACAGAGGTTAATACCACTGCTGATGGTGCCAGGTCAGAGCAGTGCCCCCTCCCCAGGGAGCCTGGCATAGCTATCCATCTCCCTGTACCCTCTCTCACATAGGTGGCACTGAGCTCACCTGAACTCTCAGCCCCTGGGATTGGGGCTCCTTACATAGCCTGGCTGCGTTGAAGCAGAGTAGGAACAGAGCCATGAGCAGTGATGGAGGGTTTCCTCCTACCAGGGGAAAGGCCCACGGGACTGTTTGGTCTGATGGTATTTTAAAGGAACTTGGAAGTGCATCTAATATTTAAAACCTGGGAGGCTGTGCTTGCAGATTTCATTACCCATTTGAGTCCCGTCCCTGATGTTTCTAGTAAAACAGAACAGCCAGAAGCCCCTAGCCCACAGCTCGCCCCTCTCTTTCAACCCGTCCTCAGCCCTAGCCTGCATTTATGTGGCCAGAGCAGCGCTGTGTCTGCTTCTTTTTCTGCAATCGTCATCCAGCTGCCATACAAGGATCCTGTCCTAGGAAGACAGACCTGGGGGTCAGGGTTGCCTGATTTAGCAAATAAAAACACAAGATGCCAAGTTATATTTGAATTTCATATAAACAAGTAACACAGCACTGGGGGCATAGTTATATTTTTTAAAGATTCAGATTTAGCTGGACATTCTATATTTATCTGGCAGCTCTGCAGGAGGGGGCGTGCAGACCTGGGCCTCTCTAAGGGCCATTGGGCAGGGACTGCAGGGTGCTGGCGTGGTTCTAGAATGGGGACTGTGGGATCTGGGAGGGCATGGCCCCGGTGCAGTCAGAGGTGGGCAGCGAGGGGCCTCTGAGGCCCAGAGCAGGCAGGAGTCCAGTCCTACAGGTCTACACTGGCTGCCCTGATTCGCTTGAAAACCTGTAAGGTCTGGCGATCGTCGTGTTGGCCCTGTTCTCCCTTCTCCTCTCCCGGCCAGACTTGAAGTCTGCTTCTGCTCTAGTTTGCCCCAGTCTCCCCCCGGCTGGCTGCTCCCCTGCCCGTCAGCCTCTGCGGACATTTGCATGTGCTGGCCCTTGTTCTTCAGTTCGCTGAGACTGGGCAGGGCGCTGACAGAGTCACCCTGTGGACTGGGGAAGATCGGAGCAAAGGGGCACCCAGGTAGGGGTCCTGGGAAGGAGGGAGCTGTGCTTCCTGCCCACTTTTTGGTCTCAGCTGACCCAGGGTCACATATGCATGGCTTTCTGGAACGCTGTGCCTTCAGGTTGGCTAAGCCCAGACAAAATGGCTGAAACCTTGGTTACCGTGGACGTGAGTCTTGTTTGTCCTCTGTTGGTGGAGGACAGTGGTTAGGAGGAGAGAGGCTTGGATTGGGTGCTGTCCCACCCCAACCTAAAACAAGAAGGGGAAAGAGAATTCTGGATGAGCATGACTTCCCTCTGATTCATGACAAACTGAAGTCAGTGTCCCCAATGGTCCTCTAGGAAAGCAATGACCAACTTGTTTTCAGGACAGGGTCTTCCACATGGCCCCATAAACACATTTTGTGCCCGCGTCAGGGGCCAGATCTTAGATGCAGAAAAGGCCTTTGTGGCTTTGGGCACCAGCGAGGTTCTCAGAAAAACAAAACAAAACAAAACAAAGCCCCCTATTTGGGGCAGGCAGGAGCCCTGGCATGGGATGTTGGAGCCCTTGCCAGGTCAATAGTGGCACCGCGTAGCTCTCCTGAGCCTGCTTCAGTTTGCCTTTTAACACAGGAGGTGTCCCTCTGGTCATTTTAAATCTGGACTGGAGGTTCCCCCCGAGCTGGGAAGCTCTGAAGGCGCAATCTTTCACCTTCTGCAGACAAATGCGCTAACTCCTCGTGCCCAGTCACGCTCCACGACGGTGGGTGTTGTGGAAGAGGTGAGGCCACAGAGCTCGCTGGGGAGGACGCGGGCAGGGGGTCAGCCAAGAGGAGTGGTTCAGGGCCTGAGCAGCGCCTCGGCCGCCCTGTGCTCAGTCCTCAGCCCACCAGGCACCATGTCCATCCCCTGGAAGGTAGCCTCGCCTCTCTGAGCCTCTGGTTTCTTCTATAAAACAATAAAGTCGACTCCAGAGGGGTGAGGAGGAGGGAGAGTGTGGTGATAGGAAAGCAGCTGGGTTAGCATAGGACTACAGCCAGGGCGGCAGAACAGTGGCTCTGACCATCCGTGTGGCTAGTATATTCTCTGTCAATCAAAAGGTGTCAGAAGCTTAGCTGCAGCCCAAGTATCTGGATCTACTTTTCACATGTCATGGACTAAGCTAATGAGTTTGGAATGGGTGCTTCTGTTTGTTTCTTGGTTTGTTTTTGGAACGTATTATTTTTTAATGTCCCTGTAATCATCATTCTTTAAAAAAAAAAATCGTTCTCTCCATTGCTGTGACACAATAGGCTCTCATCCATTGTCAGCAGGTGTGTGAATCATTGTAGTCTTTTCAGAGGGCAACATGGAGGTATGTAAGACTTTGGGGGAGATACCAGGGATTGAACTCGGGGCACTCAACCCCTGAGCCACATCCCCAGCCCTATTTTGGATTTTATTTAGAGACAGGCTTTCACTGAGTTGCCTAGCACCTCACCATTGCTGAGACTGGCTTTAAACTCTCCATCCTCTGGTCTCAGCCTCCAGAGCTGCTGGGATTAAGACTTTTTAAAGGCATATTTTGATCACACAATTTTGTTTTGAATTGCTAATCTGAATACACTGATAAAAGTGCTCAGAGAGACATCGATGAATGTGTTTATTATAGCAGTGTTTGTCGGCAAAAAAAAAAAGGCATTTTGGTGTAGGCAATGTCAGTTAAATACAGTCTGTTCATGCAATGGATTACTATGCAGCCTTGAAAAGGGGGTGAGGAGAAGAAGCAATATGTGCTGGTATGAAAAGATGTCCCAAATATACTACATTAAACAAAAGCAGGTTGCAGAACAGTAGAAAGCATACACTCCCAATGAGTGTTTAAAGATTATATGTGTAATTTCACAGATGTAGAGACTTTCTGGAAAAAAATAAGAGACTATAAGAAGAGTTCTTCTGTTCAATCTTTGCCCTTAAATATCTATGACCTTGATGAGAATGAAATAAAAAATGAAAAGGCAAAGGGAACAGAAATTGTCTCTATTGGGGTGCAGCACTAGGGGTGAAAGGCCTCTGAGCACCTGGCTGGCCTTGGAGGGACCATCTGGAAACCCATTCTGTGAAGTTTTCTGGCAGTTGCTGGGTGGGGCTCTTGGAATCACCTCCTTTCACCCTGCAGTCTTTCCACCAGATTGCTGTTCACGAGTAGTTCCTAGAAGCTGACCTGCCTGGTCTTCCTTCTTCTCTTTCCCTGTGTTCTCTTGTTCACAGGAGGGTGGAGAATAAGTTGGATAGATCCT